GAGGCTGCAATGTCAGGCAGGGCTGGACCACCCAGGGCCTCTCAGTCAATTAGAGGATTCTGGAGCTCACAGTATCCATTGGTGAGGGGGGGAAAGTGGTGTGTTCAAGTTCGCCTGTTAGAACAGTCCTAAGGGTTGCTGTACAGAGAAGAAGCTGGGGGTACTGGCCGAGGGTCAGGAAGACTAGATGGGCAAGGCTTGGGCTAGGGTGGAGGCAGCAGGGCCAGAGACAGGTGGGCTGATGTGAGATAGGCAGAACTGATACGTCTTGATCACTGACAAATCCATGCTAAGTAAAAAGCAGAGGAAAGGAAGCTGGCCAGGTTTCCAGGCACTGACTATAGAGACAGCGCTGCAAAGTAGCGCCTAAAGTAGTTGATGGTGATGTAGTTGGGGAAGGCTCCCTAGAGGAGCCCGCAGTGGATCTTCAAAGACACAGCAGATATGAGCAAGTGCTTGCAGGGAGAAGAAACACTAGGCAGAGGGAATAGTAATCTCCCATTTTTCTACATTTCTCCCCCAGGTGATTCATTTCATACTATGAACACGATGCTGCTTTTTCTGTGTGCTGGTTCAACAGAAAGAACACTGTGCTTGGAATCAGAAGGTCTAGGTTTCCACAAAAGCCTCCTAACCTAAGACCATTATACATTCTCCAACAGGGTCCTCAAGCTCTCTCAGCTTCTGTTTCTCTCATTCACAAAACAGAAACCTTAGTTGCTTCATCCTACATTATCATTCTTGACAATAGTGCTAGCCAGATTCCAAATCTCCTAGGAATGTTTTCAAATTTCTGGCCTGCTGAAGGCACCTTGTTTCCAAAGCAGCTATGGGTCAAGGTTTATGGGTCTGCTATATCTACACACACACACACACACACACATGCTGTCACTCTCAGGTTATCTGTGGCTTGGTAATCAACTGTGACAGAGCAGTGTTGGCATTTGATGAGGCCTGCATGGACACACACAAGATGTTCCCATGTCCAAAGATGATCAGTTTAGTAAAAAAGACACTTGGACATGAATATGATGAGGTGTTAGGATTAATGTCATACTAACTATAATTAGAGTGATCATAGAATTTACTGCCCAGACAGGACAGTGGGTAGAGTAGGGCCTACTTAATTTTTACCTCGGCAATAGCTGTAACAGGCACACTGAGAAATATGCTCCCTAGAAAGAATAGAGAGGTCAAATTTTTGTTCAAAGTGATGTCAGTCAAATGCCAAAGCATACTGAGACTGTGGCCTGATTCAATGTAATACACATTTTTGCTTTCCATGAAACTATTTATCTCCTTTTCATGGTTCCTGGCAATATATAATTTCTTTTGCATACTGGACCCTAAAGGCATTTGTGGATTCTTAAATTATGAGCTGAAAATTGCATAAGGATGATAATGAGATACCTGAGTTTTTTTAATAGCAGAAATTAACATTACAGTAATGAAATTTAAGGTTCCATGCCATATCTACAGTTTTGCTTAAAGGCTTGCCACTTAGGTTTACATTAAACCTCTATCTAAAGGAATTTTCTCCTTGGGCTCCAAAATGAACTGTCTTTCCAAGTGCTTTTTTATATTAACCTTCAAAAGCATTCTCCAAGCTACCCTAGGGCTAAGCCAAATTAATTTCTCATTTTTAGACCGGCTCTTCCTATTCAGTTGTAAAAGAACTTCAACTTTAACATGAATGAGTATGGAGCTGATCCTCCTTGTAAGGTGAACTGGAGGAAGGACAGAAAAAAAAAATCCTGGAGACATTCATCTTACAGTATTTGGAAGTCACTACCTTGACAAAAGGGTGTGCCCACCAGATCTATAGATAATTTCCTACGTGAAATTTGCTATCAAAGTAAAGTCCCATGGGATTAATTCCTACCACGTTAGAAGTGAACTTCTGTTCCTAAATATGAGAACTAGACTTGGTGAGTCTCTGTCCAAAGTCTACTGAGCAGTGGATTCCTTACTACACAGGGAATGTGACTTTTCATCTTCCTTAAGAAACAAATGCATGACCAATCTTTGGTTTACAGGAAAAGATATACATCTCATGAAGATGATTCCAGCTCATTTCACATGCCATATTTCAGATGAAGAACTTAAATCATAAAAACAAAAAAGGTAAGGTTGGTTAAAAAACCATGAGAGACTGAACTATGGGAAACAAACTGAGGTTGCTGAAGGGGAGATGGGTGGAGGGATGGGGTAACTGGGTGATGGGTATTAAGGAGGGCAAGTGATGTGATGAACACTAGGTGTTATATGCAACTGATGAATTGTTGAACAATATATCTGAAACTAATGTACAATGTGTTGGCTAATTGAAATTAAAAAACAAAAAAACAAAAAAAAGAACACAAAAAACAAGGGCACCTGGGTGGCTCAGTGGGTTAAGCCTCTGCCTTTGGCTCAGGTCATGATCTCAGGGTCCTGGGATTGAGCCCCGCATCAGGCTCTCTGCTCAGCGGGGAGCCTGCTTCCCCCCTCTCTCCTCCTGCCTCTCTGCCTACTTGTGATCTCTGTCTGTCAAGTAAATAAATGAAATCTAAACAAACAAACAAAAAAAAAAAACCCACAAAAAATTCCTTATGCCAATTCTCTCTCAAACCTAAAAAAAAAAAAAAAAAAGAATCAGAAAGAAACGTAAGCCTGGTTTTGCAAAAATACAAAAAACTCCCTCCTCTCTACACCAAATACATTAAACAGCCTAAAACTTCTAGATCAGATGTATATTAGGAATCTTCTCACTTTGGTACCCATTATCCTTCATAAGAATAAGTTTATAATTTTTTTTTCAGTAAACACTAAAAATTTGGTACAAAATTCTTCCTCTAGAATATTCCCAATAATATGTACTTGCAAAAAGAAAAATATCATGTTAAGTTGAGGTATGGCAGACACCCTCATTTATGACAAGAATGACAAGATGATCTCAAACACATTTTCCTTCATTGTCACCAGAGTACCACAGTCCTGCTTCCTCAGACACCCTTAAGCATCTGTTTACGTTTTTCATGAGTTTGCCTTTCATGATGTTTATCAATCCCTTTGATAATTTACTGTTCATAAATTCTGCCAGCTGAAAACAAAAGCCCAGATGCTTGATTTTTTTTTTTTAAACTGGTTAAAATAATACTACCACTTAGTTACCTGGGAAGCACCAAAAAGTAAGACTTAGCTCTTATGTCACCTAAATAGCCTTAAACAGGAGACAGAAGTTTTGGGCTCCTTTCACATAGGAAAGGAAAACCTTGTGAAATGTTGGAGCAACGTATTCCAAGTACGTAAGTTCTCCACATTCCTTCCTGTAAGTCTGTATCAAATGTGAAATGTAGTTAAATCACAGGTTTACATTTAAGCTTCCTTATCTCTGATAAGGGACTTGGACACATATCAAAGAACCTGCCCGTGTACACTTATCAGTCTCTGACAGGTATGAGGTTTAGGAGTTCAATATAGGACTTTACTGCTTACTTGTTTAGAAATTCAGATGTAATGTATCAGCAAGTATTTGGATGAGGTCTCCAATTATTTATGATCCTAGGTAATCCTATATTGCTACAGGGTTGTCTGGTTATAAACTACCGATTTAAAATGCTCTTATGATGGATAATTCACAACCATGAGATAAAGGTACATATCTGTATCTATAAATAAACGAGATGAATACCTTTCAGCTTGTTTTGGGAATGTTTTGGGAATCACTTTAATTTGTACACTGATCTATTGTTTTGAATGGACATTATATCAATTGATAAAATTTCCAAAAATTATAAAAGGGTATCAGTATAAAAAGTTGAAAGGGAAAAATAAAGTCTCCCATTCCAGAGAAACCCCTCCCCACCCCCCCCACCCCCGACGTAACCATTGTTATGGGTTTCTTTTACTTCCTTTCAGAGATATTACAGAAAAGCTTAGGTGTATGCATTTATGAGAGAGAGGGTGAGGGAAGGAGGGAAGGAGCAGTACCAAAACTTCATCAACTTGAGAGGGAGAGAGAAAGAGAGAGAGGGAGAATGGTGGATGGATTGACTTCCCCATCTTTAAAAACAAACAGTAGTAAGTTGTTCACATTGTTCTCAACACTGCTTATCTTCCTTAACAGTATATCCCGGAGATTGCTCCATCAGTACATGAAGACTTGGCCCTTCATTTCTTTATGTATATAGATAACATTCCCTTGTACAGAAGCACAACGTCTTATTCAACCAGATCGCTACCAAGCAACATAAAGCTTGGTAAAGGCAGTTTCCTGCCTTTTGCTTTTGAATGGGACTGAATTATCAGAGCTGGACTAAAACCGTGGGGGTGGTGAGGGTGCACTGAATAAATATTAACATTTTGTCCTGCCTACTGCCTGCCTTCTTTTAAAAAGTACTGATGTCTACACAACAAGGAGAGCCTCTCTGGAAAAGACGGTTGTTAGCCTTCCTGCTGCCACACACAGGAAGGTAACAGTTTTCTCTCTAAAGCTGATGAGGTTTTGGTGCTGCCTATGCGCAGCAGCTGAATACTGGGAAGAGGAACCACCAGACTTTGCAAGAAGCTCATGTTAGGGGACCAGCCTGGGCATCTAGGCAGCCTACCCCAAATGAAAATTCTCCAACGTTAGGGAAGCCTCAGTGGAATCTAGGTCAGGATCACCCCTCCCTTCCACATGGCATGATGCAGAATTTCAATTCTGTTGGCGCTTAATTTAGAACTTCCACAGGCTTTGGACAAAACAACAACAACAACAACAACAACAACAACAACAATGACAAACTCCCAAACAGTGAGGTGGTCACAACTCTTTAGGGCTGGACTGGCTAGGTTTTGGGCAAGTTACCCAACCCTCCTGTGGCTCAGTTTCCTCTCTGTAAAATGAAAGTAATACATACCTCAGAGGGTGAGTGTGAGGATTAAGTAAAATAATGCCCATGTAACTTGCTAAGCAAAGTGCCTGACCTTTTTAAAGGCTCAGGAAAATGTTTATTATTGGTAAAACAATCCAACACCTTTTTTTTTTCCCCCTTTTTTGGAGAAATATCTTGGTAGCACCAAAAAATACACTGGTTGTGAATTTGGGACTCAGGGTGATCCTTCTGTCTCTTGACTCTTACTTTTCCATGCCCCCACATTCTCTGCAAGCCCCCTCACAGTTTTGGGACACATACTCTGTGTCCTTGTACTTATGCAGTTCCATATGACTACAATGTCCCTCGTCTTCACATGGGTAACTTCTACTCACTTTCCAAGATGAAGCCCAAAGGTCAAGGCTAAGTGTCCTCCTTCTGGATCCCACTGTCATGCTACCCGGAAGGGATGTGAGAGCAGGGTCTTCACAGGAGCTATAAACTAAGTTCCCAGAGCCGTGTTAACACACTGTAGGCACCTCTTAACTGTCGCTTGAATTAAAACGAACACCGATGGAGGCAGATTCCAGTCTACTTAATTCCCTTGACAGAATATAATCTATACCTCTGGTATCTTCTTATAATCAACAGTGTGGTTATTTGCATTTCAGGTGTTTATATTCTTAAAAGCCTCAATTCAGAATCACCTGTCATGTAGCTCCTGTCAGAGCATGGCTGAGCCATGTGGAGAGAGACTTCATGTAAGAGGCAAGCTACCTTCTGCCCATCACTCCCTGACTCGGGCAACCCACCAGAATGCTGTGACTAGGTTGTTCTCCACCTTGCATCATCGTAAAAAGAACTTTTCAATACTTCGGCCTAGCATTATACTCTACCTTTAATCAGAAGCAATGGGAAAAACGACTATATAGAGAAAGCCTAATTTATTTTTTGCATTAAACTGCTACAGAAGACATAGTCTATCGCGCTATTCAAAAATCACGAATACACAGACTTATATGGCAAATTACTTTTAAAATTTGCAACTCGCAATGAACTGGCATGCCTTCCTTGAACAGACCACCTCACAGTACATTCTGTCATATTTTTCCCTTCTTTGTTACGGCTGTGAGGTAGCTCAGGGCAGGCCAATGCCAAATGACTCTCCCCTTCTCTCAGCCACTGGTTAAGCTGCTGCTCTGTCTTATTCTAGATTTACTCTGCTGTTTATGTATTTTGAAAAAGAATAATGAATCTCACATATTTGTTCGGTTATCAGTAATGCTTGGAGAACATTTGTCATCAGACACCTGGGACATGTAATACAATTTGCTTGCACTGTCACCCAAATGTGCCCTAAACACACACACACACACAGTCTCTCTCATACTGAACTTGTCAGCACACAAAGACTTGAAATAAAAAAACAAATGCTTGCACTTAGGAAAGGGCTGCAAGTCTCAAAGACGCTGCCCCAGTTTTAGCTGGCAACAGGTGACAGGTATGCATGTGGCAGGTACCTGCACAGACGGTGAGCTGGGTACAGCACCTGGGCTGAAAAGCCATCCTTTCATCAGTGTACTGAAATCAGTTCCGCCTGGAGGGGGTCTATTCTACCTAAATTCCAAGCAATGAAAGGAAGGAAAGGGAAAAAGCGAAGAGGAAGTTCATTCCGCAAAACTGAGAGTGAATTGGGACTGTACTCACTAGACACTGGGACGGTGCCTGTGCCAGAGATAAGCGCTAGACTTGCAAACATCCTGCCACCACCTCTGCCATTTGGAGGCAACGACAGTGCCAACCAGATGGTCAGCTTCTGCAGGAAAGGTTTTAGTTTTGTTTTTAATGGCAGAAAGGAGCCATTATGAGGAAATTTCACGACTATGCTCACCTGAAATGAGGAGGCTAAGAAATGCTGAAGAGGAGCAAGTCTGCCAGCATACTTCACGTCTCAAGAGCCGGCTCTATAAAGTCTGAAACTTTGGAAGGAAGGAGGAGGGCTGTCAAGCAGTTTCCTTCCCTCCCGTTCCTCGTGATAGCAGAAAACAGCAGGAGTCTCCCAGCAAAGGAAGGGCTGTATCAGTATCCTCATCTCTGAGGATCTGCCCTATCTCAGGCTCTCATGGGAGGCTCACATCTGGGCTACAAACCATGGCTACGAATAAGAGACTCATCCTCATCCTCAACATGGTGGAGGACTGGCTTCAGTTTGACCCCTGGTCCTGCTGCCCCCCAGCTCTCTGATCTTGATGAAGCCATGCTTTCCCTCTGAAACCCAGTCTCCCCCTCCGCAAAGTGGGGATACTGAAAATGGCTGTTAACCGCACTGGGCTGCAGGGAAGAGAGACAATGTCCACAAAAGCCCTGGACTAGCACCTGGCAGCAGTAGGCGGTCACAAGACATCCATCCCACTCTTTCCCTTCCTGAAACCCCCCCATCATCATCCTTCATGTTCTCTGTTCTTTGTTCTAGTCTATTCCAACTGCTGCCTACTCTCCTCTCCTTTCTTCCTCTCAAACTTTGGCCTGCCCCACCTCTTTTCTCAGGTACTCTTTCATTGTTCCTGTTCTCCCACATTCTTCCTAGCTCCCCAAACTCACCCAGAATCTGGACTTGAGTGATACTAGGGCATGGAGGGTTAGAACAAGAGAACAAGCAGTGGCTGCTTCAGTGTCTTTCCTTATGTACCCAACAGGAGGAGCTTGCATTACCCACTCACTACCAGCACAGCAACAGGGCACGGTGACTGGGTGTGGAGGAATACTGGTTTCACACCCTGCCCCCACCCCTCAGGTAAGTTAGGTAGCCTCTCTATACTTTTTTTTTTTAAATAAAGATTCTATTTATTTATTTGACACAGAGAGAGAAAGTATAAGCAGGGAGAGCAGCAGGCAGAGGGCGAGGGAGAAGCAGGCTCCCTACTCAGCAAGGGACTCAATCTCAGGACCCCAAGATCAGGACCTGAGCCGAAGGCACAAGCTTAACCAACTGAGCCACCCAGGCGCCCTCTCTGTAGCTTTTTCATCATATGTAAAATGAGGGTTTCAGCAGAACCTCATGCATTACGATGATTAAATAAGTAAATACAAGCACAGTGCCTGGAACAGCCACCCTTAATGAATTACTAGCTATCCTCTACACCATCACCATCCTCCTCTATCTTATGGAGACTTGATGTCCCATGATTATATTTTCAATCTTTGAAAGCAAAATTTGTTCTTAGGAATATGAACCAGGCACGGGTACATCACATCAAGATGGAATTTTCCAGCAGTTCCATGTGATTCTGGCAGAAGAATCAGTTCTTATCCACATTTATAGGCTTTGGACAACGTCACCACAAGTTGGAGACTTGCACATAGCACATGAGTTGGCTGCTCTGCCGTTTCTGGCAGACCACCAGAAGATGCCACCACCCAGAGGCCTGTGCCTGAGGAGCTCCCAGAGCTGCCAAGCCAGAAGATACTCTGTTCTTGCACGTTCCTGGCTATCACAGAAGAGAAGGGGCCAGGCCTTTAAGATACGTTTTTCTCTGCTAAATCCCATTCTAAGATGCATCCTTATACCACTGTCATTAAAACTAATGGAGGCCAAACACCAGCACACTGGCATTTGTGTCCTCTAATGATCTGTAATGGCCACTGATAATGAAAGCCTTTTCCCAGAAATTTATTTTTTAAATGCATCAACTGTGTCCAGAGATAAATAAGAAGACAAAATTTTCTTTGTTTTTAAAAACTATACAATATGTTATTCTCAAAGGAGCCGGTCAGTTAGGAATAAATTCTGTAATAACCATTTTTAGAGAATATGTGAGGAACTCATGGAAACAACAATAAAAATCAGTATAGATTTCCCTCTTGGAATGTAAAGCTACCAAATCCGCCACTAAGTCCATGTAAGAAAGACCCACTGTAGTGATGTCTCTGGTTTGAGGCTGTCTCTCCTTCTGGGAATGCCCCCTCTTCTAAATTCTCACAATTCAAGAACTCTGCATGTTGATCTTCCCTCCACAGCCGAGGAGGAACAGGTTATTCAGGCCTAGCCCAATAGAGTATTATATACTCCTGCCCAGAGATTGGTTAAGAGATGGGGAGATGATTCAATCTGGACCAAGAGGAGTTAAGCCCAAATGACCGTTCAAACTTTTGCAGAAGAGAGGCTCTCTTTCTTTTCTCTTGGACTTGAAGTTTATAGAATTAAGTCCACCTGGTGGCAACCATCTTGCAATCAAAAAGAAAGAGCTTACCTAAGAGAAGAGTCAGCAGAGAGGAAACTGAGCTGAGAGATGCCAGAAGTTGGGGCCTGATGGCACCATGTGAGCCCCTGGATCCAGCCATGCCTGGAGTCTGTGATTCCTGTGATTTTCAAGTAAATATAATGAACCAAAAATTCCCATGTTAGCTTAAGTTAGTTGGGTTGAGTTTCCTGTTACTTGTAGGTAAGAATCCTAATTGGTAATTTGCTCAAGTTGACACAGAGGATCTTGAGTATAGCAACTGCCTATACATTTAAAAGATGTCATGTTAGGGAAGTTTATACTAGTGCTCAGCTTCCAGAAACATGTGAGAAGGACAGGAATAGCTAGCTCTCCTTACTATCTACAAAGGCCCTGGATTTAGAGAAATGCAAATGCTCCAAAATAAAGACCAGGGCAATGAATTAAACAGAGCACAGTGCTTTGTGACAGTGCATCAACTACATCTGAAATGCTGGGATGCAATTTCTAGAATTCACCTAAAATTTGAGAGAGTGGATGTTACCAATCCAAATGAAAATAAATACTAGGATCACTTTAGCAGGTTTAACACAGTAACTAAAGGCTAAACATAGCAACTCTGCCTAAGGAGTAAAAATAAGCAGGAATTTTCTGTAAGGCTGTGTGATGGCTATTTATACTCTCTCCTTATTAAGCCCCCTATGAATCTGGACTGTCACAATTGTCTCTGAACTACTCTGCCCTCCCTGAGCCCAGAATTAGTCTCTTAGAGGTATAGCCTAACTCCGAGGTAAACAGCTCCTGCTGAAAGCTGAAGGTGCCAGAATTAGTCTGATGTGTTTAGAGCTGGGTTGTAACAGACAAGAAGAATCCAGCGGATTTTCAGACCCATTTTGTTGGCTTTTTACAAAATAAAACTCAAAGCAAAGAGGATGAAGCACAATGTTGTAGGGCCTT